AACCGCTTGGAAATGGCGTTGTTGGTGGGTGCTGTGAACCCTAGGGTCAAATTCAGCGACGAACAAATCAGCGCGATCCTCGACGAGGTGTTCCGAACCTACGGCGAATTCATCGACGGCGACAAGGGTCTCACGTACGAGGGTCTGTTGCGCACCTACGACGACGGCGCCGGCGACGTGGACCGCGATTTCGACGCCCTTGGCCTCGACCTGGTCGCCGACGCCGCGAAGGAGCCGCTGGCGGCGTCGGAGGCTTCCTCCTCGTCGATTGTCGACGAGCGGATGGCGGTGGAGACGCAGAAGAAGCAGCGGACCGCCGCCTGGGCCGTGTCGCCCAACCACGGCATCGTTTTCGACGACACGTGGAAAATTGTGGATGATTTGGAGCTTCTTGTGAAGAGGCTGAAGATGAAGCAGTCCAAGGAAGGTGGCAAATTGAAGAATGAGAACTTTGACGCCTACTCCGACGCCGGTTGGTCCCGCGAATTGGGCCCTTCCTCGGAGATTTCGGAGAAGAGAGTGTTTTGGGAGGAGTCAGGGCATGATTATGCTGTGTTTTTGAAGGAATTGGGAGGGTTGAGAGGTAGAGCTGATGGTGCTAGGTCTAGGGAAGAGGCATTTGATGGGCACATGGCAATTGGAAGGGTTTTGTATGAGCATCAATTGTTTAAGGAGGCTTTGGTTAGTTTCAAGAGGGCTTGTGAGTTGCAGCCTGTGGATGTGAGGCCCCATTTTAGAGCTGGCAATTGTTTGTATGTTCTTGGCCGGTTCAAGGATGCCAAGGAGGAGTTCTTGTTAGCTCTTGAGGCTGCTGAGGCTGGTGGCAACCAATGGTCTTACTTGCTCCCCCAGATTTATGTCAACCTCGGCATTGCCCTCGAGGGTGAGGGTATGGTTTTGAGTGCCTGTGAGTATTATAGAGAGGCGGCCATTCTTTGCCCCACTCATTTTAGAGCCTTGAAGCTCTTAGGTAGTGCGCTTTTTGGCGTGGGGGAGTATAGGGCGGCGGTGAAGGCCTTGGAGGAGGCGATTTTCATGAAGCCGGATTATGCTGATGCGCATTGTGATTTGGCATCGGCTTTACATGCCATGGGCGAGGACGAGAGGGCGATTGAGGTGTTTCAGAAGGCCATTGATTTGAAGCCTGGTCATGTGGATGCGCTTTATAATTTAGGTGGGCTGTATATGGACCTTGGTAGGTTTCAGAGGGCTTCTGAGATGTATACTAGGGTTTTGGCTGTGTGGCCGAACCATTGGCGAGCGCAGCTGAACAAGGCGGTGTCGCTGCTGGGAGCTGGGGAGACTGAAGAGGCCAAGAGAGCCTTGAAGGAGGCTTTGAAAATGACGAACAGGGTTGAGTTGCATGATGCAATATCGCATTTGAAGCAGCTGCAGAAAAAGAAGAACAAAGCTAGCAATGGGGGTGTTTCTGGGGAGGCATCGTTTGTCATAATTGAACCATCAAAGTTTAAGGCAGTTGGAGAGAGGACTACAGGGAGGCAGGAGCTTGCCACTGCCCTGCAAATCAGAGCGCTTCAGAGGGTCACTAGGTTGAGTCGGTGCAGCGTGGAGCTTTTGAAGAAGGAGATGAGTGAACATGATGTGCCAGTGTCCTATTCTGGCAGCGGAGTTCCTGAAAAGTCCATCCGGAAGCCGAATTTGGAACAAATTCTTCACAGATTACTCAGTTTTCTGAAGCCAGAAACTTTTCAAGGAGCTGTAAAAGCCATAAATGAGAGGATTCTTTCTGTTTTGGATGAGAATGGTTCAGGCAGGCTGGATCTGGGGATGTTTTATGCTATACTTGCTCCTATTTGTGGTGGTCCTCCGGATAGACGGAAAAGGATTGCCTTTGATGCACTCTTGTGGCGTCCCATGAATGAAGATGGTGCTAATATTAAGAAAGTTGATGCCACCATATACATCAAGTTGTTAAGGGCCGTCTATCTTCCTAGCCAAGGTGTTAGTGAATTAATGGAGGTACGTGGAGATTCGGACACTTCAATGGTGTCTTTCTCCGAGTTTCTAGTTATGTTTGATGATCCAGATTGGGGTTTTGGTATCATGCCTACACTATTGAAGCTTGAAACAGGTGATAGAAACCGGCATGGCAGCACTATATGCTCAGTTTGCCGCTACCCGGTTATTGGTTCTCGGTTTAAGGAGACAAAATCTCATTTTAGTTTGTGTAACCAATGTTACAGTGAAGGAAAGGTGCCTTCTTCATTTAAGCAGGAAGAGTACAGATTTAAAGAGTATGGAAGTGAGGGTGAAGTCATGAAAGATAAGTGTATGTGCTTCAATTTGCAATCTCGTGATGATAAGTAGATAGTGGCACTCAATTTTTTGCCTATGGATTTTTTTGTTCGTCTATCTTGTACTATCCCATCTTGTTTATCCTAGCTTTTTGGTGTGAATGTGATTATGTCTAGCTCATGAATTCACCAGCCATTTTGGTCCCTTCTTTAATAACTGTTTCAGGTGGTGCTTCACTAGTTTGGTAACTGTTAATAGACATTGTAAAAGTGTTGATCATGCATGCTTCTTTATCTCTTTTTGCTGTTTTGCCTATTGATCATTCTAACTCTAACAATCATATGTCTATTATTCAATGGAGGACTGGTCAATTTTTCCTCGTTACGTATGATTTTGTTTATACGGTTTTAAGTACCACGAGTACAATACGTTCATTGGTTTATATTTTAACTAACGATAATCCGGCAGGGTAGTGCAGTACATTTAACTGTGCTTTGAACTGTCATTTGTTTCTGTGTGGTTAATTTGATGTAGTACATTGGGTCATTGGGAGCATACGATAAGAATTTTGAATACAAGGGACTTTGCGGTTTTGTATTATAAATTCACAATTTTGCCCTCCTCATCGTGTTAGATTTTTTTGATTGAGACATTATGTTAGATTTTGCTTGTACGGTTTAAGTATCATGAATACAACACATTCAATGTTAATATGATAGTACATTTAACTGTATTTTCATCAGCTATTTGTTTCTATGTGGTGAATTTGGTGTAATTCCCTGAGAGTACGTATACATTAAGAATTTAGAATATTAGGGACTTTGTTGTTTTGTATCATAAATTACAGAATTTTTGTTGTAAAATTAATGTGCCGGCCACTTTCTTTATTTGTTTTTAAAAGAAAAGCTTTTTTATATTATAAAATAAGCAGTTTTTGTATACTTTTGTTGTTAGTTTAAACTGTTTATTTTAAAAATAAGTATTTTCTATTTTTTAAAAGAAATAACTTTTAGCTGGTTCTTAAGAAATTATTTGTTTAAAGAACACTTTATTATAATCATTTTTTTAGTTTAAACAATTTGACTCGATATAGATTGAATCCAAGATATACAAAACATAGACGGAGTTTCTTATATTATTTTCGCTTAAATAACTTTTTAGTCCTTTTAATATCTTTGTTTTTTTTTCCTTATTTTTCTAAAATAGTGAAGTATTTTTTTTTTGTTGTCTATTGTGTGAACGCTTTAACTATTTGTATTTATTAGAAGATTAAGTAATCATTTTAAGTAATATTTACAATTGTTAATGTATAACACTATTATTTTTATTTTTATAAATTTTTAAAATGAATGTTATTAAATACTTTGAAATAATTAATAGAGATTAAAAATAATGACTTTAAGTTTTAGAGAATTTTTCGAGAAAAGAAAATTAAAAAAAAAACTATATTTTATAGAAACTAAAATTAATTTTTGTTCATTTTACAAGAATAAAAAATAAGGTTTATAAATTTTAGAAAGATGAAAAATAAAGAAAATGTTTTAAACTAAAATCAAAATTTGCTTATTTTAAAGGATTAAAATTATAATTAAGTCTTATTTTTGTTAATTTTTAAACAAAGAAAAAGTCATGATTTTCTTTTTTGTAAGAAACTGTAGCATAATCTAAGTAGAGCTTATTTAATATTGAAAAAAAATACTTGTATGTTGTTGTTTGATGTTATACTACACCTCATGGATGCGATAGAGACCTGAAAGGGAATGTTGATAATTTTCATGGAAATGCTGATTTGGCTGTTGGGTTCGAGTGGAGGAATATACATAAGACATAAAGGCAAAAAAAGAAGGATTTGCAAATTAAGTAAATGTTGTAACTATGTAACTTTTCTTCTTTGATTTATATGGCTTATAGTATCAGGATAGTTTAATTTATTCCAAGTAAAAATGAGGTTAGACAACCTCGTAGAAATAATTAGTGCAGTTAATTATGTATTTAAAGATGATTGGTATAATTTTCTTAATTGCATCAATGATCTTTGATGAAGTTGTTTAATCTTATTTTTAGTTTTGTTTTGGATGATCTTCGATCTTGTAAAAGGTGTTAATAAATAGAGTATGTTTGGTTTTTCATTTCAGTTTAATGATACTACATTCACGGATGAGGTTGAATGTGTTTTGAATTGTGTTAGTTTTTAACTAACACAATTATAGAGATGGTTTTCTTCTGTTGTTTAAGAGTATGTTTGGGTGAACGACAAGTTGAAGATAATCAACTTCAAAACCGTGGTGAAAGAAGAGCTATAATTACTTGCAATGGAGTTTTCATGTAAAATAAGTTTTTTTTCTTTTTCCGCTCCAATCACGGTTTTACAGTGTAACCAAACACATCTTAAATCCGTGTTGTCAAAATTGGATTGGCTAGTCAAACCAGTCCCACATAAAACTTTGACACCTAGCTGCTTAACTAAAAACTCCTTTTGTAAAAAAGTGATGTTAAAGTGATTCAGAACTACGTAAATTGGGTAAAATTGGTGCCAATCTGGACAAATTGATTCAATATTTTTTTATTTAATATTTTTTTTAACCTTTCTCATCAAACATTGGGTTAATAAAATTTATCTAAAATGATAAAATCTTCACCTAAAACAATATTTATGACTTTTATTAGTGAAGTTTGACTTTTAATATCATAAGTTACAAATATTATAGTATTTTTATTAAAGAGTATTTAATATATTATAATAAAATTTAAATTTAAATAATATGTGTACCAAATTTTTTTAAAATAATATCATTTAATTATTATTGATTTGACTATGATTTAAAAAAAAATAAATCTTAAATATTTATCAACTAAATTAAATATGATTTTAGTTCCTACAAAATGAGTAAGTTGATTTTGGCCCCTAAAAATTTATTTCATCTTTTTCATGTTCTAAAATTTGGAAATATTGTTTTTAGTCCATATTATGTAAATTTTTTTTATCTATTTATCTGTTTGTTAAAATATTAAGTAACTATCTTAAGTGTTATGCACATTTGATAATAATATTATATTAGTATGACACTCCTTTAAAATATTAGTAATATCATATTAGTATGACACTCATTTGAAAAGTAATTTTTATATTAAAAATTGATTTTGAGAAGTTAAATTATACCCTAACTAAATTTAAGACTCAACAAAATGAATTGGATAAAATTGGATGGTAAATATTTGTGACATCCCAACTATGGCAAAGCTAGACCTGAACTTCTTGTATGTTTTTCTTTTTATCTTTTTTGGGCTTATGCTTTGTGTTTACCATATATATATATAATCGCCAAAATACTTAATATATATCCCTATAGTGATATCAATTTTTTTTTTTTGACCAATAGTGATGTAAGACAGCCTAACATGCAATAGCATATTCATCCCTAAAATGACTAGTTATACATGTAATTTCCATAAATTATTTTAAAACATTTACGAACGCGTTTTAAAAGTGCTTGTATTTTATTATTTAGACAAAATTAATTCTTCCAAATCAGTTTTTAACGCTAATACTTTTAAATGAAATTATATTAAAATTTTAGTATGATCACTTTTTTCTTAATCATTTTCTTATGTCTTGTTTAAATGAACTTTTATATAAGAAAATAAGAAGGTAAAATTAAAATAATTTTTTATAAGTTAAAATCAACTTACTTACTTCAGTTTTTTGGAGCCCGAAAAAATTTAATTCATTTTAGTTTCTTACTTTCTTTTCTTATAAGCATTTGTTAAAAAGTTTATCAAAACCAACCATACTTGTTATTCCAATCTACTTAGGTATGTTGTTGTTTTAGCCGTATTCAGTTTCACTTGATTCTCTTATATGAAAGCTTGTCTCTTACTTTTGCATGTTGAGTGCGAAGTCTGTTCTCAGTTCTCAGTATCTTTGCCAAGTACTGTTTGTAACAACTAAAGTATTCAACAAATTGAGAAGAGGAGAGGGTGAAGAAGCTCATTCTGAGATGTGGTTACAAGGCTTGTACATTGGTCTAAGTGAATGGTGGTTTGGTTTCTGTATTAAGTTAGTATTCGTGCATTACATGTGTAAAGCTTCACGTGGAACCCAAGCAAAACTACAACCACGAAACCTTTGTCTCATTGGTTGAAGGTTACCAATGTTTGATGGGAAAATAAATTTTGTTAGAGAAAGAAAGAATAAAATGTTGTAAACAAAGTTTGAGGGATATTGAATTTGAATTTATTATATAAAGTTTTAAATTCAAATCTTGTAGATAAAAATAAATATAATTAAAAAAGACTTTATTAAATGTGATTAATTAGATTTCTTAATAAAAATTAATTATTAATAAAATCCTTATATATTGTACCTCTAGCATAGTAAAAAATAAAAATAAAAAAGCGACAAAACTTGTACTCATTCTAAGGTTCAGTTGAAAACCTTTTTTTTCTTGCCACTCTAGCAACAAATTTTAACATGCCACTATTATTTTCCCAGCCTGTCACATGATCAGTTATGCAAATTACTTATGTGGCTATTCTGCATGCTTAAAATTACATTAGATACCCCCATTAAATTTCTCATTTGATAACAAAAAAATATAATTATTTACACGGCTTCAAAAGTCTACCACTGGTTAAATTTTGCAAATAAAAACGGTAGGTCCAAAGTATCCAATGGAAATTGAATACCAACCATTCAAGAAGAGGAGAATGTAGTGTGCAACAAGCTAATACTCCTTTTGTTTTTGGTAGGTGCGGTTTATGGTTAGACTAAAGAGTAGATTGAACAAAATGAAATTTAACAAATTAATGGAAACAAACCTTCTAAAAAGCTCACGACAATAGGAGAAAGTACTGCATTCTAGACAACCAACGATTTTCCTTGTTTTCAAATATTAAATGCTGTTAGTTGTTTCCTTCATTGTCCAATGTAATAGTTAATTACTATTAGGCTCCTATCAAAGAACTGGATGAATAGAATATATCTTCGATACTTAAATCCGAATAGCATTGTATAATTATCCTTAGGTTCATGCCAAAAAACTGCACAGAACCCCAATCATCATATGAACCCAGTTGAAACATGTTTTTCCACTGACAACGGAGAATAGTAAAGAACATGATTCATAGTAACTGAGACTGAATGAGAATTTGCTGAATGCTGACAACCATTAACATTGTGATACAAAGTTAGTCAACAAGAATAAAACCACTTTTTATATATTCCAAACATGAGAATGGCAAGTCCATAACATGTTCCAGTTCACGGGATTTGGAAATAAGAGTGTTAATAACAAAGTCCCGATGAAAATACTTACTATCTATACCAAAACCTCTACACACAATCAGAGACGTATTACAGACCCACGGAACTGCAACAGTAAAAGCAAGACCAGAACCTCCTTTTCCCACTAGCACATCTTTGTATGCTTGGCAAACTTGAGAGACATACTTTCCCATTGGTAAAATTTGCTCAAGCTCAGATGGAAAAGATCCATCATAATTCAAAACATCAGAGTCAGAATGCAGGTTCACCACAACAGTGCCATGTTTGGGATGAAGTCGATTACTGAGGGCTTTAAGGAATAGTGAATCTGGGCTCCATAACTTGTGGGGAAATATATCATCACCATCATAAGCATCAACAAAGACCATATCGTATAGATTGGTATTATTAACAATAAATTCCTCAGCATCTCCTTCATAAAGGTAAATTCTTTCATGGATGCCTTTCCACATTATTTCATCAATGACATCAGGTTTTCCAACAGCCCGGTCACCTGATTGTGTCCCAAGTGAGAAAGCCGGGAACCCCATAGCACGAATTGAGGCTGAAATAACAAGGGGATCGATTTCAACTATATGGACAATGGCACCTGGAAGGAGCACAGAAAATTAAGCAAGGTGTATAAGGATCAATTGCAAGCATAAATTTGTCTATATACCAACGAGGAGGAAAATCACAAGAAAATCCCAAAAGGGGAGAGGAGAATGGAATAAATTCATGAAGGTACGTGTAACTATGTATCCATGTAAATCAGGCCACTAGAGACAGTGCCATATGAAATGTTTTTTCACTTCATTTCTAGTTTTCTACTGACATTACAACTTGCCATTGACAACCAGAATATGCAAGGCTCCAAGCCTTATCCCTCCGACTGCAGAATGTGACTATTGACACAACAACATAAAGCCTTATCCTACTAGGTGAGATCATGTGACTAATGAAAATGTAAACAAGTAAAAAATATTAATCATCCTCTCTTTCATTTTTGAAACACAAATTGCACAGTGATATATTTCCGTGATACATTGGTTTCTTTTATATTTTTCACTTAGTAGCAATATCTTTTAATTTGGATATTTCAAGCTACCACTTTAAAGTAGAACAATTTTCACCTTGGACTTTACTTGCCAAAAACAGTGGTAAACTTCCTCCACCATTCCCAATGCATAAAATGTGCATATTTTTCTTTCCCTGCAGAGCACTCATAATATCAAAATTACACGAGGCTATTGTAGTCAAACCAGCTGATACCATACTCTTCAAGTCTGCAAGATGGCATTGAATAAATAAAAATATACTTGGGATTCAATTCAACATGAACAATAAATCAACTCTAAGGATAGATATAATCAGAAAATTAGAAATCAAGAATCATGACTGAAAAAAAAACTAGAAATTTATTAATAAATTCCAAGACCATGAAAAAAAAAAAAAGAGCATCAAAATCCATAAGGACATACAAGAAACTAGTGTCAATGGCCCAAAGTAATGTCGTTGTGAACATAAAAAGAATCCAATTTAAGCTGTGTGTGATGCAAAAGCATAAAAAGTTAGGATGATGCTCAAGATTTAACTAGGCAGCCAACAAAGAAATCAATGTCAAATGGCATGCAGCATCCTCCAAATTAACAGTAAATAAAAAGTATGAAGGAAATTCACCTCACGCAAGGTAATCAAATCACCTGTTTCCTGTTTATGCCCCCTTCACATTTACTCCTAAAAGAAAGAAAGAAAAAAAAAAAACTAACAACTAAGAGATAATGCTATTATTCAAAAGTGAGAAATATTTTATTTGTGTCATTCTTTAACTGGAGAGACAGAGAAGGGAACAAACAAAGAGGATAGGTGGTTTCAATCCCACGAAAAGATCTTGACCCAACAAAACAAAGATTTCTTTGATTGATTTGATGATTAAGCATAGCATATAACTTGTTTTGGTGCTCAAAATCCTTCCCAAGTCAAGCAAAGTTTGTTCAAATAAACAGTTAATTTAACATAAATCACCAAACAAGTATGACTCCTAGAAGCATTGCATAATAGTAGCAAATTAGCAATACTAACCCTATCCCTACAAGTCAATCTGATAATCATATTTCCTTGCATACAGTTTTTTCACTTAAAACATCACTCATTGAAACACCAAATTGGTTAGGAAATGTACATGGAACAGCCAAGCAATGGGGTTGCTGCATGAGGTAGACGACACCAGGCGTGTTTTCACGATAAGCAGCCATTACTTTTGCAGTGCTTTGTCTAGTAACATCGTTGAAACGAAGCACCCTCCATTGGTATCCAAGTACCCTCAACCTCCCTCCATTCCCATATCCAGGATACACCTCCTCACACCTTTGCTGCAGCCACCTTTCCATTCCTGACCAATGCATTCTGCTCTGAAAACCATGCATACCCCAAATTCCATTGTCAAAACCATGCAGAAAATGCAAACAAATATTTAATATCTATATCTATCTATCCATTGCTCTGAAAACCATGCATACCCCAAATTCCATTGTCAGAAAATGCATACCCCAAATTCAAAGGCTGCGTTTTTAAGAAACGAAGCATTTAGGGGGGAAAAATCGAAGAATTTGTCACGCAGAACAGTTACATTAAATCAAGTTACAGTGGCTCAATAACTTCTAACATATATGATCATTTTCATTTAACCTGAAACACATGTGCAATGATGATAGATTGATATCTATTGAATTGCTGTAATTTAATTTCTCCGAAATTTCAAGTTCATTTGGAAATTTATCAAAATGTTGAGAAAGAGAGTAAACTAACGGGTCTGGAGGAGGGATAGGCAAGGACAGAAACGACGCCGTTTCCCTTGCCGGAAGTTGATCGGAGAACAGTGTGACCGTCATCGGAGTCGGAGCCCCACCACTCGGAGGAGTAGAGCCAGTCACCTTCGTCCTCCGCGCGCCGCCGCACCGCCTTCGAGAAATGGCGGAGGCAGCCGGAAACGGCTCGGGATCTAGGCCACATGAGGAATAATATAAACCCTAACGAATGCTAATTGACAGGGTTTTAGATTTGATTTGATTTAGGTTTTTATTATTCGGTTTTTGTTGGTTTAACCCGACAGAAAAATAACATCAACGATGACATCACAACATATGAAGGCAAAATTAAGGAAAGCTGTGGAGTTAACATTTCATTAACAAAAATAAATAAATAAAGAACATTTCATTAATTTTAAGAATTTCACATTGTCATTTTTTTTCTTTCCTTTGGTAAGGTGTAAGTATAGAAGTAGAGCAAATTTCAATCTCATTATCACATGTTTACGACAAATGTTCAAAGAATTTAAACGAAGTATTTTATTTATTTAAAGAATTTTAAATTTTTTAAAGTGAAATATTTTATTTGAATAAAAGATTTATAAAAAATTAAAAATTTAAATATTTGTAAAATTACTTGAAATAATAAATTTTCAATTTTTTCTAAAAATAAGTAAGAATTTAAAAGTTTTCATATTTTTTTTTATTTTATTTACATATTTTATCTTATCTTTTCATGTTTTTAATTATTAAATATTTTTAAATTTTTTAAATTTTTTAAATATTTTAATATTAATTTTTTAAATTATTAAATATTTAAAAATTGACTAATATTTATTTTTATAAAATTTAATTTAAAAATCTCAACATATAAATATATTTTTAAAATCAATTTTATCATGATGGAATCAAATTATCACATCCAAACTAACAATTTAAAATTTAAGAAATTTAAATTGACTTATTTAAATAAAATATTTTAAAAATGATAGAAATTGAAATCAAAATAATTCAAATACCAATCATTTTAAATTCTTTGAATTTGTAAAAAAAATTTATCCAAACATACCACAAATGTGTGTTCTATACTCTTAAATTTGGATAATAAGACCGGTAAGAAATTAAGAAAACAATAAACACCACATTACTAGTTTTGAATGTTAGTAATGTTCGTTATCATGTTCACTAAAACTGAAAACATAAGTTTATGACAATCTTCCACATCAGCATGTTGAGAGAAAATTATTTCTTTAATTTTATGAATGAATCTAATTGATAAATATTGATGTATATAAGGTACTAGTTTTAATCCTAGTTCAAAGCACGGTACAATTTTTATTATAATATTAACATAAATATTCATTAGTTTTGTCGAAAAATAATCTTCCTTAAAATCTTGACTGCATTGTTGTTTCTTATGTAAGTATCCTATAGTGTATATAGTTTTAATTTGATTTCTTTATATGATTTATAAAATCACAAAATTTTGTTGTCTTCCAAGGATGATGAAAGAATCCTTTGTTTAAGTAATAGAGATCATTGAATAATTGATATAATTCTCTCATTTTAGTTCATAACATCTTTTATAATACATGATTTCCAATAATATATCCTTTCAGAAATTCTTTTATAGTATCACTTAAATTCTCTAATTTTTTACAAAGTCATATATTATTGCAGATTTTTTCTTGTATATATGTACTGTGTGGCATTATTGAGTATTATTTTGTTTTCTTATTTTTTTTCTTCTATTTTTTGGATTTGTAAAGATAGATATTAAAAGGAAAGATTTAAAACACAGGTAAAGAAACATTGATGCCTTTTATTTTACTATTGAATAAATTTTGTACAATTAAAAGAGGCTTTAATCTTTTAAACTATTATTGTTGTCATAACAAATCCATATTCAAATATTCAATCCATTTCATATGATGTTGGTAGAGACACCCTATTTAAGTTCACAAGTTCACATCATTAAAATCTCATTTCATGTGTTTAAACCTTAATATCGTGCAATTTGATTTTTCTATATTATTGATTATTCCTGTATGTGTAATTTTTTTTTAAAAATTACCCATTGATTTTTGTCATTGGTGATAGAATGGGTTTGTAGACATTTAACTGTATCACAACTATCATCAATCATCATTGATTGCTCTAAAATGGCTAGAGGTAATTTTGAATTGAATCACGGAATTCATGACGTTTGATGGGTAGGTAAGTTGTGTTTGTTTTTATAGTTTTATGTTTGGTAGATGCAATTAAAACCATTAAGATAGAGAAAGATCATAACTTTTTCAAGCAACTCATTGTTATTTCAGGTTAAATCCTTTGAAAGATCAAACCCAAAGTCTTATTACATGGAAGCTTTTTCTATCTCATTTGGTTCAATTTCTCCCTTTGTGGAATGCCTAAAAGCAATCAAAAGATAGAAGTCTCACATTGGCTAATATCATCTTTGAATAATGATTTATATATCAAGTTATGATATAAGTATACAAAGAAACTAGTAAGAGTGGTGAGGTTTGTGTGTTTTTATGGGCCAAGTAGGTTGTTGTAGTGCAAATCAGTTGATTTCCTCCTTATATGTGAAATACATAGTTTTTATGACTTTTTAATATTATTTTAAAGATTTTTGAAAACATTTTAAGATATTCTTTATTTTTTGGTTGTGCCTCCAACCTCCTATAAATAGCTTTGAAGGGGAAAGACTCATCAATCACAACTCTCTCTTCTCTTATTCTCACGTCTTCTCTCTCCGCATTGAGTTCTAAGTTTTTCTTCTTGTTAATTTTATAGCTTCAACTCCAAAATTGAGACATTTCTATTATATCTTAGGAGACTTATATAGATACAACAGATATATCCTTTAGGGTAGTGCTTAACATGCAACACCCCAAGATTTTCAATTATTAATTATATTTATATATGTGTTATTTTAATATATGAGTTGATTGATTTTATAATGTATTTTATTCATATAAATTAGGTGTCTTTATTAATTGTTTATTTAAGTAATTGAACGGATGTGTAACCTAAGCTAAATGTTTTAACTGTTTTGGTTAAAGAAGAGTTAAATTTTTTTAAAAATAAGGGGTTATGCATTCTGATGGCATCCTTACTTGCATGAACTTGAGATGATGAGCAAGGAGGAGGACGCCGACCAAGGTTTTAGGGTGGATGATGATGGAATGGACGAAAATGAAGGTTGGGTAGAAGGTGTTTAAGGAAATGCTTGAGAATGGTACTCTAGGGTTAGCATTTAGTGCCTTTATATCTTTCCTTAGTCACCCTTGGCTATTTTCGGCCAAACCCTACCATCTCCACCTTGAGAGAAACAACCCTAGAAGTGGCCTTCATCATCATGAAGTGAGCCAACCCTAGAGTACCATCCTCAAGCATTTCCTCAAACACCTTCTACCCAACCTGGTGTTTAGGACTTAGAATTTATTTTCCCTTGTATTTCCCTTTTTACCCTTGTATTATGGGGTGCTCTAGATGATTAGGAGCTAAGGTCCAAAAGTGGCCTCACTAACCCATTCCTCTTGCCTCCTTTAATATATCACCAATTGGTCTTCTCGGCCTTAGTGTTATTCCATCACATTCTCACTTTTACATTTCAAGCTATGAAGAAATTCACACCTTCTTCTTAATATTCGTCAAGGTAAGGGAAGAGGAAGCAAGTAATCTTGCTCTAGGGTGTAGGATAATTTTTGAGTAATGAGGTTAGCCCAAGTGAGTAATCTTTCTCTAGGGTGTGGGATAATTGTTGAGTAGTGAGGTTGACCCCCAACCTCTTGTTTGTCATATGCATTGTATGAGGGAAAATCCCAATTTGTTTCTACTCCTTGAATTTTGTCTTTTACATGACTCTTCAACTCTTTTATTGATGATATTTGTATGTATGTATGATTAATTTTGTATATTAAATTGATTTGGTATTATTTGAGTTGCCCATAGGTTCTTGTGGGAATCCTAAAGGAATGCGTTTGGGTCATATTGTGTGAGTAGTGAGTAAAAGTATGTAATTTTATGAAATTCATGCCTTTTGATGTATAACATTGTACCTATATGAGGGCACGTTAGTAATTTTATCATTTTGTTCTCGTCCAATAAGTCCTCATCCTGATAGTATTCACATTAGTCTTTTCCTAGTCTTTGGTTGATCTTACTGGAAGGGTTCAAAATATATTATCCTTTTCTTTGATAATAAAAGTAGTCTTTAGTTATACCTGCTTGAAGAAGACAAAAGGGACGAATCAATGCAATCAATGTTGTAATAAATGCAAAAATATCTTTTTCTCTTCCTACACATCATTATTTATACTAATCTTATTGAGCTAGGCCATAATTAGGGTAGGTCCATTAATGATTATCATGCATTTAGTAATCCCTTGAACTTTATTGATCATTGGTATAGACCAAGAAATTCTCAGCTTTTCCCTTTTGTCAAGCCCCTCTAATATAAACATGATTCTTTGAAATGTTTTATCGATTGAAGTGACAAATTGGAAATCTTGTACATAAATGGTAAAATTCATGTTTTTTTTACATGTTTTGGTTTTCTAATATGAAGCCAACATGATCGAGAGTAGAGTTAGCTCTTTATGCCACCCGCGTCGAGCGTGTGTTGGTCCTTGTTGGTTGTAGGCGCTCTAGGTGATTCCCTGTGCCTATTTTATTGGACATCAAGTGAGTCACGTCAAGCATGAGTTGTCTCAAGAGCTACAAATGCTTTTTGGGCGTGTTGTGCTAAATGCAAGTTGGTAGTTGTCAAACACCACCCCTTGCTTGTCGCCTTACTCTTTGTGGTAGCTCGTGATGAATAATGTGGTTATTCCCGATACTCCTTGACGATAATGAATTGAATGTGGATTGTAATGTTGTGAATGATTGAATGATGCAAATGATATGTAATTAGTAAATCGTTGTAAAGACAATTCGTTGAGTATGTATATTGAAAACATGATATAACATTGAGCCTTATGTGATATGTATCATATACTCACAAATGAACAAATCAATACATATATATATATATATATATATATATATCCCCAAATTCCAT